CGGCGGAAAAATCTCTACCCTTCTTCCAGATCATGAGGAAGACGGCTGGCTTTCTATGGACTCCAGAATGTCAGGGGGCTTTCGACGAGCTCAAAAGATATCTATCTTCACCTCCTGTGCTCTCCAAACCCAAGGTAGGGGAGACCCTCTACCTCTATCTTGGGGTTAGCCCGGCGGCCATCAGCTCTGTACTCATAAGGGAGGAAGACGGCGTCCAACATGTCATCTTCTACGTTAGCAAGACCCTAAGGGAGGCCGAGCTCAGGTACTCCCCTGTGGAAAAAACGGTGTTAGCCAACTTTTGTGACTGTCAAGAAGCTGGGCCACTACTTTCAGGCTCACCCGGTTCAGGTCCTCACTCATCAACCCCTCGGTGCCCTCATGAGGAGCCCCACCAGCTCCTCCCGCATGGTGAAATGGGCTATCTTCTTGAGCCAATACAACATTGACATCCGTCCAAGGCCTGCTATCAAGGGCCAAGCCCTGGCGGACTTTGTGACGGAATGTACCGCAAGGGCAGCCACGGACGGGGAGCGCTCGGCTACCTCGGACGACTGATGGACCCTCTACACTGATGGCTCCTCCGCGACCAAAGCATGCGGGGGAGGGGTAGTCCTCATTACTCCCGAGGGCTTCAGGGCCTACTATGCCATCCGCTTCTCCTTCAAAGTCTCCAACAATGAGGCCGAATATGAGGCCCTCCTATGTGGCCTTCGGCTGGCTGCCAACATGAGGGCTCGGCAGATCCACATCAAATGCGACTCCAAGTTGGTCGTTGGCCAAATCTCCGAAGAATATGAGGCCAAGGAGGGGAGAATGAAACAGTACAAGGAAGCGGCCAAGGAGTTGCTTAAGGTATTTGAGGCACACTCCCTCACTCAAATACCGAGGGCTCAGAACTCCGAGGCCGACATATTATCTAAGCTCTCGGCCGACTCCCCCGAGCACATCTCCAAAATCGCCAAAATCGAGGAACTCAGCCTCTCAAGCATCCATGCAAGCCCCGTTATGAACATACAACAACGTCAGGAGGATCGGATCTCAGATATCACCACCTTCATCTCCACAGGGCAGCTACCCGAGAATGAATCCCGCGCTAAACTGGCAAAGCTGAGGGCTCCTAGCTACACCATCGAAGATGGGAGGCTCTACAAACGATCTTACAATGGCACGCTACTTCGGTGCCTTCATCCAGATGAAGCCGAGGTCGCAATGGAGGAAGTGCACAGTGGCACTTGCTCAGCTCACCAGGGACCCTTCTCCATGTCCCGAAGGCTCATTCTCCAGGGCTACTTCTGGCCAACCATGGCTAGGGATTGTGCTGACCTTGCCCGGAGGTGCACCGCATGTCAACATTTCCAGAAAGCTCCCGGCAGGCCAGCGGTCAACTATGCCCCCATCAGCACCTCTGTCCCATTTTCTCGATGGGGGATAGACCTTGTGGGCCCTCTGCCGAGGGGTACCTCCAACAACAGATACATCATTGTGGCCGTCGACTATTTTACCAAGTGGGTGGAAGCTGAACCCCTCGCCAGCATCACAGAGGCGAAGTGCCGTCACTTCGTCCTCAAGAACATCCTCACAAGGTTTGGCGTCCCCCAGCAGATCATCTCCGACAATGAGACACAATTTGAGGCAGCCCCCTTCTGTGCCCTTCTGGAGGCATGGGGCATCAGACACACCTTCTCCTCCGTTGCCTACCCTCAAGGCAACGGGCAAGTAGAGAATGCCAACCGGACCTTGCTCGAGGGCCTCAAAAAGAAACTGGAGGCCGAGGGCGGTGGCTGGGTGGAAGAACTTCACAACATCCTCTGGGCCTACCGCACTACCCCTCGGCGCGCTACAGGTGAAACACCCTTCTCCCTCTGCTACGGTTTTGAAGCCAAAGCTCCTACGGAAGTCACCCTTCCTACCCGAAGGGTGATCCAATACGACCCCGAGGTCAACGACAGCAACATGGCCCTCGACCTCCACCTCATTTCAGAACGCCGGGAGCAGGCCTTCATCCGGGCAGAAAACTACCGAAGGCAAGTTAAATGCTACATCGACGCCAAAGTTCGCACCCGAGAATTTCAAGTGGGGGACTATGTCCTCCGGAGGAGGAAAAATGGCACCAAAATTCGAAGGCCCCTACATCATAGCAGCCATCATCAAACCCGGGACCTACAAGCTCAAACGCCCCAATGGGAAAGAAGTCCCTAGGCACTGGAATGTACACCATTTAGTTAAATTTTATCAATAATGTAAGAGCGGCCAAGCCCTCATAACTAGTGAATGAATTATCCAATGGCCCAAGGCCTCCAAATTCGGAGAATGAAGATACATTCAAGACATCAAGCCCTCATACTAACTACAGGCCCCAGGCCTCACCACGAGAAGAACCCCCTCCGGCACCAAATGCCGAGGGCGGACACCATCAACACCTACAACAAACAGTGAAAACACCACGTGTTTTCAGTCAAGACCCCTCGGCACCCAGTGCCGAGGGAGGAAACTCCTATCACCAACCACAAAGAACACCATGTATTTCATTTCCCTTCGGCACCCAGTGCCGAGGGTACATCCCCACCTTCAACATCAAAAAAGAAAAGATGAGAACACCAAGTGTTCCTACAGAAGACCCTTCGGCACCCTGTGCCGAGGGTACACCTCCATCATCAAACATCGAAACAAAGAGAGAAACACCAAAATGTTTCAAAGAAGACCCCTCGGCACCCAGTGCCAGGGAGATGCTCTCCTATCAACTTCCAAACATCTATTGGGAAACACCAAGTGTTTCATTTGAAGACCCTTCGGTACCAAGTACCGAGGGTAGACACCTCCATCAACTGCAACAAAAGAGAACACCAAGTGTTCCTGCAGAAGACCCCTCGGTACCAAGTACCGGGGGCTACACATCGAAACTAACACCAAGTGTTGTTTCTAAAAGCCGTACCCCACGAGGACGCATATACCGAAGGCGCCACCATCGGTGCCGGCGGCACGTAGTGCCCCCGGCCATTTGCAACTAGTGTGCAAATGAAAACCCTTCCTTGAAACGCTTTCCGCGTCACTACCCCCAGGGTATGACAGGCATGAGAAATGCCCAGGATTCGACTTTCAAAAACGGAACGCTATCCGCGTCATTACCCCCAGGGTATGACAGGCATGAGAAATGCCCAGGATTCGACTTCCAAACCGAAACGCTCCCCGCGCCACCACCCCAAGGGTGTGGCAGGCCACAGACTATGTCTAGCGCCGAGGGGACGACTTTCAAAAATGAGGCGCTTTCTGCGCCATCCCCCAAGGGGAGGCAGGTTACGGACCACCATATCTTGTGCCCAGGAAACGTCCCTCGATCCCCTCGGAACTCGGAAGGTTAACCCGAGGGAGGAGAGCCATTGGTGTATTCTGATGGTCTCCTAATAGGCCCAGCCTTACCAAGAAACCAAGTTTCTTGATGCCTTCCCTTCACCACCCAAAAAAAAAAAAGGGGGGGGGGGGGTGAAGGGGAGTAGACTCAGCGAGAAATCAAAGAGTACACTCCAACAATATCACAACATGCCGAGGGCTCCCCACGGGAACACCTCCGGTAATTGAAGACTCCTATTTCCCGAAGGATACTACTCAAAGAAATATCATCAGGAAACGGCTAAGTCCACTACCTGGTCACCTCCGGTCACAAAAACACCGAAGGCTTCAACAATACAAAGGGACTGGACTATCCAAGGTCCACTAAACGGTACTTCAAACAAACGCCGAAGGCATCTGTTATGCACAAATACCGAGGGCCCTTTCCCCATGACAAGGGTCAAATCCTACAACTTTTAAAGTGTATGCCGAGGGCACAAACTCCTCATTGGATTTCTTCACAACAACAGGATTCAACATCAGTCTATGCCTAGAAAAATTCTAAGTCCTGAAGGAGCAGCCCCCGGGCACCCGAAGGCTACACAGGGAAGCAGCACTTGAAAAAATTCTAATACCTAAAGATTGGGCCCCCGGCCCAATCAATGTTACAGCCAAGGGAATATGGTGGCCGAAGGCTATGCGATACAACAACACTTGCAAACAAAGAAAATTTCTATGTCCTAAAGATGGGCCCCCGGCTCAGTCAGTATTGCAACTAGAGGAATATGACAGTCGAAGGCCATACATCAAGGAGGGATGCCATTTCCCGAAGGCTCCCAAAGGAGATTTTGCACTTAGAAGATTTTCTAAGTACTACATGCTTTTCCCCGGTCAACTACTTATACATCAAGGAGGGATGCCGTCTCCCGAAGGCTCCCAAAGGAGATTTTGCACTTAGAAGATTTTCTAAGTACTACATGCTTTTCCCCGGTCAACTACTTATACCTCAAGGAGGGATGCCATCTCCCGAAGGCTCCCAAAGGAAATTTTGCACTTAGAAGATTTTCTAAGTCCTGCATATTCCCCCCCCCCCCCCGGTCAGCTACTCATACATCATGAAGGGATGCCATCTCCCGAAGGCTCCCAAGGGAAGATCCACACTTAGAGATTTTTCTAAGTCCTATGGATTGGGTTACTACAGATACCCGAAGGCTCACAAGGGAAAACCTACACTCAGAAATTTTTCTAAGTCCTAGGAAGTGGGTTACTACAAGCACCCGAAGGCCCCATGCCGTGCTACACTTAGAGAAATTTTCTAAGTCCTAATTCCTACAGAACCCTCGGTTGCATATCCAGCAGAGGGTGCCCAACTACCGAAGGCTCCTAAGGGCTAGCTACAATCAGATAGTATTCTAAGTCCTAGACATATATTCAAAAATACCGAAGGCATACATTCAAAGGAGAAGGCATACATTCAAAACATAAGGCGCATTCGAAGATGAAAAGCCCGGAGGCAGCATGCATTTCATAAAAAACAAGAGTAAGTGTGAAATTACAAGCAGGCCGAAGCCGAGGGATGAATAATGTCATCATTACAAATATGTGTTTACATGATAAAAAGTACATATCAAATCATGTTACTCCCGGGGGCCGCCTCCCCCGATGGCTTCGAGGTCACTTCTGCGTCGGCCTCAGGTTCGTCGCCCTCGGCTTCCTTCATGAGCTCAGAGTCCTCTAGGTCTGGCCTCTCGACATCGGGGGGAAGAGGAACGCGGATGTCTGGCTGCAGGGGGGAGCCCGTATGCTGCCGGGTCAAAGTCCTTTGGCTCGATCTTCAAGTGGCGAGCCATCCTCCGATAGATGAGGGCTTGAGTGAAAAACTCGCCCCCATCGTAGTATTGTTTGCCCTTTCGGGAAACCCACTCCACGCCAGGCCCATCACACCACTCGTCGACCGAGGACTCGACGACCGAGGACAGCCATCGCTTGTGCTCCTCGGACCGCCATCCCCCTGCCAAGAACCCCGAGATTGCGTCCTCTCGGGCTCTCTCGACGGCTTCAACCTTCGCGGCCTCGGCTTCCTTGGCAGCTTTCTCAAGGGCCTCAGCTGCGGACCTCTCGGCTTCTGCCCTACCCCGATCTGCGGCCTCCGCCCGCAGGGTCATCTGCCGAAGGCTCTCCTCCAGCATGGCCATCTGCCGAACAGCGTCTGCATTCTGGCGGATGAGCTCCCGCATCTTGGCCTCCTGCTCGGCCTTGCGAAGGCGCCACTCCTCTAGCCGTCGGGCTTGCTCCCCGAGGGCAATGCAGGTCTACAAAAACAAAGGGGTTAGCAAGGCCAAATATGGTTTCTTAGCTCGAAGTAAAAAGGAAAGAAATAGGCGTAAAAGACTTACTGTGAGGGAGGACCGGAGGATCCTGTCCTCGAGGGCTTCGTCTTCATCAGCCCCGAGGGCTACCCTGTCAATCTCGAGGGTAATGCCTCTCAGAAGCGCCCTCGGGTCGGCCGTACCGTTCATCACGGCCGTACCAGCCGGGAGGGAAACCATGAGGACCTCGGAAGATGGCCCCTGAACTCCCGGCGGCACCTTCGCCACCTGCATGTCCTCATCTGCCCCGGAGGCAGGGCCTTCATCAACAATGATCACCGGGGGGGATTTCTTCCCGGCATCCCCGGTCTTGGGCTTCTTGCCCTCGGGATCTCTGCCCGAGCCCTTCCTTTTGGCGGCAGCAGCAGCATCAGTGCTTGGGCCCACCGACGGCCCCTCCGGTTTTTTGAAGAAGTCACCGGCGGGTTTTGGGACACCGGCGTCCGTCCCCCTCGGGCCCTTGGAGGGTTTCTTCTTCTTCAAGTCTGCAAGGCCTCTAACATTCATCATTTTCACTGGGACACCTGCAAAAAACAAAGGAATGGGGTTAGAATCGAGGGGTCGCTGACCGAAGGCACAAAGAACCAAAAAAAAAAAAAACACGAACAGGATAAGCTATGTGCTAAGGGACCTCGTAGACTACCTCCTGTTCCCCCGAAGGCCTCAGCAAAAACGAGGTACTTCTCATCCGCTTCACCAATAAATCGGTATCTCCGAAAGCCGAGGGCGTAGAATCCCTTGTCGGCAGTATAGTCTTTGATGGAGACCTGCTTGGTGCGACCCTCCAGGGATTTTTGCTATCACCAAGCCGTCTTTTTCGAGGGCGGCGCTTCCAACCTTCGGATGCCGACGGAAGCGATCCCGAAGTTCCGCCGGGAATGGGTTCTCAGCAACCCTGACATAGCACCAGCGCTCCTTCCAGCCCTTGTTTGACGAAGGCGCCTCCGTAAACAGCTTCCACCTGGCCACCTGCTGCAGGTTGGCGAAGCCCTCGGCATTCGCGTGACCCCCTCGACAGAGGTTGAAGCTCTGGAAGAACAAGTCTAGACTGGGGGTCACCCCTCGGTCCCTACAGAGGTTTAAAAAACCCGCCACGTAGGAATGGCTATTAGGTGTCAGCTGGCAGGGCACCAAGCCAACGAACCTCAGGTACTCCCGGAGGAAGGGGTGCAGCGAGAACCGAAGGCCCATGGAGACCGACAGCACGTGTACTGCAATGCACCCTTCAGGCGCCCGAGAGAGCACATCGTCAACTCCCGGCTCGACCACCTCGGCCGAGGGCCCTACATGTAGCTGCGTCACGTAGAGGTCCGCCCTGTCCGCCTTCGACTTTATCTCCAAGGCAGCCGTGTTGAGCCAGGAATACCCCTCCGGCATATCTACGGGTTTCCCCTGATCAGCAGCTATGACCTTCTTCTTGGGGACAACAGCCTTGGCCTTCTTCTTCCCGGGGGCCACCCGGATGGGAACCGCGTTCAGCGGCTGGGAAGTACTGGCCTCACCAGCACCCCGAGGGGGAAGGACGGCCACAGTGACCTTCGCCCTCTCCTTCTCCTCCTCCTCTTCAGCAACTTGGACGGCGAGGGCCAACTCTTCATCCTCGGCAGTTCGCTCGAATTCCTCCGCCTCGGCCTCGGCCGTCAGATCCTTCTGCACCTCAGTGGCGAGGGCTGCATCACCACAATCCGAGGGCTGACCACTGCTTGACTCCACGTCGGAGATGCCCTCGTCCTCCATCGAGGGCGTCCTCGAGATGTCCTGAGAGTCACTCTGGGACGACATTCGCACCCTAGTTCGAGGGCTCGTAGACGGTAGTGTTTCCTAACTTTTCTATCTCCTAAACTAAGGGCACAGTACAGCTATGCTAGAAGGAGAAAGGCAGGGAGCACTGACCTCGAAAGCTGAGTTAGGACCGAAGGCTGCTGTTTCTCTCTCTAGAAAAATTGGCAGAGCTTCGCTAACAAGTTTTTCGCACACGGAGGAATGCCTGGCCTTGGGGTATTTATAGGCGCTGGAATCCGGGCTTGGGCCTGGGTTCCGGGCCTCCGGATGGACGCCATCATTACTCACCGCGTCTTCGCCCAACCGGTGACGCCGCCCACGGACAGCCAGCCATCACACGCCACGTGTGCCACCCCCCCAACGGCTATATCCTGTCGTTACATATTCCAACGGCTATATTTCCAACGGCTATATTTTTGAAGCCCCCGGGTTTTCTACTTCACTCCACTTCATCAAGGATAGCCTCCGGGTGCACTCACCCAGAAGTGCCCCCGGGTTGTGCCCCACACAGCACATTACACACGCCTTCGGGATCACTCCTTCAGATCCCTAGGGCTGCATATCAGGGCACCCCTCGGGGTTTTCCCCTAAGCATTACAAAACCGGGTAGCCCCCGGGGAGTGCCTCATTGACGGATGGCCCATGGCTCTCGGGTATCTTCATCACCACCTCATCAACAAACAGTGGACCCCCCGGTAACAGCTTCACTGCTGCCCTCATCTGGCAGGCCCTCGATCCCTGGATTGAGGGGCTCCCCTTCGGCACCACCAGGACATCAACAGTAAGCCTCCGGCTAATCAACACCGGAGCCCTCAGAAGAGAGAGCCTTCGGCATTCCCGTCATTCTCCACTTTGTACCAAGGTTTGACATTTTCGATTCATCATTGGGGGAATTCGGTGCACTCTTTTTCCCTCATTAGGATTTTTTCCCAAAGGGTTTTTCCTAATGAGGTTTTTAACGAGGCATCCCCCCAAAATGAAACGAAAAGCGTCAGCCTTCGGCCCACAACAGCAACGTAACTACTTTACTCCTTTTCACCATTTTACAAGTGCCTCAAGGAGTGGGGGACTGGAGGACCCCCTCGGGAAAATCATTAAATTACAAAATCTGTGAAATTCCAACAAACAACAAAGCAAGCCCTCAAGTCCCGACATGTGGGTAACTTAGGGACTGCCTTCGGCAGGGACATAAAAGCAACAACTCCTCACCAACTTCAGAGATCACGACGGGACAACATCAAAGAGCGAGCACAAATTACTCCTTTTCCCTCAAGTACCTTTCGGCAAAAGGAGTGAGGGACTCCTGATGGAGTATATGGCCCGGGAACCCCCGGCCCACAGACTCCTACTACTCCAGCGAAGGCCCAACAGGCCCAAAAGGCCCCCTGGCCGAAGGCTCCAAATTCTCACAGAGCGGGTTCCTCAAGCAAACTAAGAAACTGGGAGAAAACGGCGAAAACAGTAGCCCTCGGTACTGTAAGCCCTCGGCACCAAGGTGCCCTCGGTTGGAGGAGCCTTCGGCTACTGCTCTATGACCGAAGGCATCTCACTCGACAAGATATCCGCCTCACATGCGTACAGATCACCGTACTCTGCACAGACGTCCCATCCAACAGCCGCATTAAATGCGGCCACATGCGGTTGCCAGCGCCAACCAGTTGAGGTGACCCCTCGGCCAATGAGCGCTTGACACGTGTCCCTGCCCGACATTTATTGCTGCTATAAATAGCACCCCTTTTCCTCATTTGTAACCACGCTGAAAAGTGATAACACACTGAATACACTCTCTCTCTCTACTTTTATTTACTTGCTCTGGCTTCTCTCTAAATTACTCCCCGTAATAACCCTTCGGATATATACCCCCGGGTAGACTATCCATCACTGTGCTTGGTAGCGACGAAGGGTGCTAACTTGATTGTTCTAGCTCTCAACGAGAGCACCAAATGATAGAGTATATCTAGAGAGAAGTGAGAGCTAGAGAGAGAAGTGCAATAATATGCTTCAATAGAATGAATTCGTAACCCCTATAACTACTCCCAAGGGGAGTATTTATAGAGAAAATTAGGGTTGGGCTCCCAAGCCTTGGGCTTGGGAGGCCCATTTACAACTGGACCGCTACTGGGCCGAATACAAAGCCTCTAATGGGCTGTACAAATGAGTAAGTATAGAATCCGTTTCTGGGAGGTCTTCGTGGCCGACGAGGGCGTGGCCGACGAGGGCACGGCCGACGAGGGCACCCGAGTTCCTTGGGTTCAGGACCGTAATCTGAGTTGGCCCCTTTTCGACCGACGGGGGCGTCTTGGCCGACGAGGGCGCCACTCTGTTGTCTTGCGCTCTGTTCTTCCGAGTATGTGGGTCCTGGAGCTCAGACCCATATACTCCATCAGACCCGTTTTAGGATCACTGCAAGGAAATGTTATAAGAGTCATCAGTGATGTTCCTTTAGTGAAATCATATTGTCCTCGGACCTGAGATCGCCATGGTTACCAATATAAGGATTAATACATTAGACATTATCAAACGTTACTCCTAAATGAGTAACTATAAAGATAATGATCAAATGTATTAGGGAATATATAGATGTATGTGGTTGGTTAAGATGGGATTTGTCACTTTCATATATTGAGAGAAGATATCTTTGGGCCCCTTGATAAGTATATTTAATTATAGCATGGCCATGCACAAATGAGGTGTCATTTGTATTAAATATACTTGGAAATCAAGATACAATGATTGAACTATACAAGAATGACACTCGCCTAGTCTTGTGTTCAATCTAGATATCGTTTGGCAAAAGGAATATATATGTGACATAATATATTTATAAGTTGTGTCGTTTTGAATTTTATATCCTTTGGATAATAATAATAATGCCTTACTAGAGACCGCTTTTTATTTTTATAATTAAAAGAGTATGTAATTATACTACCAAAGGAATATAAACCTATAGGGTCGTACACTAAAACGTTTTGGATCATAATCGGATAGTGTTTGGGTCCGAATGACTTCAAGCACATATCCGTTTGTTGCTAGGGTTTTCTACATTATGTTCTCTATAAAAGGAGGAGCCTAAGAGCTTAATAGGGCTGACCGTTCTCACACATACATGAGACAAAACATAATTTGAGAAAACCCTTTTTGGATGCTAGTACATTGAGCAAGTCTGATCCGATCGTGTGTGCACACCGTAGAGGCGTGGTACTTTCTACGCTAGAACGACATAAACAAGTGCTAAGACCTAGGTTTCCATTGATCCATCAAAAGGTATGGTTTCATACGAACTTATAATGATTAGTTTCTTGATTTATTGCAAACTATATATATTGCTTATTAGCAATTGAAATTCATGGAATAGTATACATCCTTTTGTAAATGTTTTTGCTTCGTATCAAGCATGAGATGCATGTTCGTAGCTCGTTTCCTAACAGTGGTATCAGAGCCTTGGCTTACTATTCCATGGTTTTCAATTGGCATATTAGTATTTTTGAAAGAATCATGCAATACATCAAGTTTTGATCGAACTTTTGTATCGTGTTTGTTGCGTTTCACAAACTGTCCATATTTTTTGAATATGACTTTCTTGAGATCTTATTATGGACTAGAACGAATTGCAACATCAATGTTTTTTGTTTTTAAGTATGATTATTAGGAATGTTCGTATTATATGCTAAAGTAATTGAATTTTCACAATTACCTTAATTAGCATATACAAATTTCCTATAATATTTTCAATCATATTCGATTT